CATGTTCGGTTTTTATTCCCACAGTACTCCTAGCCCTAACACTGACTGACTAGACTGGAGACTGAATAAGAAAGCAGGAGGCCTAGCCGGGCATGGTGGCTCATGCCTGAAATCACAGTACTTTGGGAGGCTGAGGTGGGTGGATCACCTGAGGTTAGGAGTTTGAGACCAGGCCGACCAACACGGAGAACCTCCATCTTTACTAAAAATACAAAAATAGCTGGGTGTGATGGCACAAGCCTGTAATCCCAGCTACTCAGGAGGCTATGGCAGGAGAATTACTGCAACTTGGGAGGTGGAGGTTGCAGTGAGCAGAGATCTTGCCATCGCACTCCAGCCTGGGCAAAAAGAGCGAAACTCCATCTCAAAAAAAGAAAAAAGAAAGCAGGAGGCCCCTGCTCCAGTGATGAGGTGGCTGATAAAAGCTGCTGTGGACATCATGCAATTGGAAATAGCCATGAGGTCCGGATGGGAACAGAAAGACCCCTGACAGTACTCATGGGTGTGCAGTGCTCAGAATAAAGGCTGAAAACAAGGAGGATGATGTGTGCCTCCTTTTCGCAGTAAAAATAAGACAGCAGGATGGTGAGTCAAAAGAAGCCGGCTGGCTTCACACCCTCCAGAAAGATATGAAAGGGCTTCCCATCTCATCCCATCCCACTTCAACCCTGCGTATGTCACGGCTCAGATCTCCCGATAGAGATGGCAAAGTGAAATGCTCTGAGAAAGCAGCCTTTTGGAAAGCAGACCGTTTTTATAAAAGGAACACGCTGTAACCAGGAATTTGTATCTGTGGAGAAATAAACAAGTTCTCTGTGAGAGGCTGGTGACAAGCAGAAGCTGTAGCAAATGTCAAGGCAGAGAGATTCCTGAACTGGGCAGGGCTGAGCATACCGGGTTGCTGTCTTAGGCTTTTCTGGACCTGGATAGCAAAATCAAGCTCGTCAGCAGCCAGGTGGGCAGACAACAGTGTTGATGAGATAGCCTCTTTGCAGCACCACAGAGACTTACAAAAGAAGGACAGCATTTTAGAGTCCAAAAGGAAAGCCGTGTTTTTCAAATTTTCAAATTAACATCAATATAAAAAAATAAGCACTCACAATCAAAATGGAAACTGAAGCCATTCAATATGTCAGATCAAGTCACAGAACTTCTTTCAATTTCATCTTTAGGTTGGGATGTTTGGACCAAACTACCTTTTAACATTTCTTTTACTTCTGAAATTCTATGATCTATTAAAGGGCACCTTGTAAGAAACTCCAAAGAATGTCAAAAACAAAAACAAGAAACTGAGGGCATTCATGGAATGCACAAAGGAATGAAAAAAAAATGAAACAAGAGGCAGCGCCATTAATGCTTTCCTTGCCCTTTACCAAGGAAGAGGCATGTCCTTGAAATGGACGGGTTGGAGCATTCAATAAAATCGTAGTAAATGCACAGAATGTTCTAGTCTTCGCTGACAAAACCGATATCAATAAATCACCCAGACAGGATGTGATCCACCTAGGAATTTCAAATGAATTCACGGCAGAACTGTGGAGCTGTCGACTATGATGTGGGACCAGTTGTTGCAACAGCTGCAGTGCTGCAGGACAGTCGGGTCGCCAATGTCAGCCTCAGCCTGCACTTCCAGAGGGGACCCTGGTAAACCACCAACTGTTAGTTTTTCCCTTTTATACCAGCCAGGCTGCTGGAATAAAGTACCAAATGTATCTTTAAATAAAGTACAAAATTGCAGAAAGCTTGAATCAACACACTCATGGAGGCAAAGGCAAGATGGGTTCTACACGGAGGAATCAGGTCTGATTTCCAAAGTCCCTTGGGGGTACACAGGGTCAGGGGAGTGAGTCATTTTGCAGACTTTGGAAATGTTTTTGACAAGTGTCTACACTAAAGCCTGACAATAGGTGAGTAAAGAATGAATGGATCACCACAGGAGTCACAGACTATTCAAAACGGACAGAGAACTGAATTTCAAACAAGGAAAACCGGGTAATAAAAAAGAGTCATTTCTTTGTAAAAGGTAAGAGTTCTCAGAGGTCAAGAAGTGCCAATCTTGGTGAATAATTTTACTAAGAGGTTTCAAGAACTAGGTGCACAGTGAAACTTTCAATGTGGTAGATGACCCCGATTCATTCTAAGCGAAATGTCAAGTCAATAGGAGAGAGACTTTTCGAGGCTAAACAGAAAGTGGTACAGAAATTTCCATTTCAGGGCAAGTTCAAGTTAAAACACTTTAAGAATAAACAGTTGTAGAACAGTCACCTAGAAACGACCTATAAAGCCAGGAGAAGACCCTGGGAGTTATTCGCTTTCCTGAGAACATTAAGCCCAATGCAGGACAGTAGCATCCACAACAGTAAAACGCCAGGCACTCCATAAATATTTGTTAAATGAATGAAATGCTGAGCCATCAGAAAGACATGAAATAGAAAATATGTCCCAAACTTGAACAAAACTATTAGTAACAGGATTTTAAAACGGAATTCTTGCCTCCCCTTCGGCTGAAGCACAAAAACAATAGTTGTTACATTCCAAAGTGAGACCATTATATTTTATGGGACTTGTAAAAAGGAGATGGCTGACAATCTCAGAAAGATATATACTGAATGATTCCATAAAATAACAATTATAGAGATGGAGAACAGATCAGGGATTGCCAGGTTAGGGATGCGAGGAGAAGGGAGTACTCTATAAAGCGGTAGCGTGAGGACCTTGTGGTGATGGTACAGTTATGTATCTTGAATGTAACGGTGTTGACATAAAACTACGCATGTGAGATAATTGCACAGATTTGCAAACCACACACAACTGAGTACATGCGTAACTTGTGGAATCTGAATGAGCACTGTGGATTGCACCAATGTCGCCTTCCTGGTTCTGATATTGCTCTACAGTTATGCAAGATGTTAACACTGGAGGTGAAAGTTGCATGGGATGTCTCTCTATGTTTCTTTGCAATGCAATTCCTTATAAGCCCATAATTTTTAAAAAAGAGGTGGGGATGAAAAACCAGTTTCAACCCTGAGCTGATCACCCACCTCTAGCCCATATAAGAGATTAGAGAAGTCAAGAAAGGAGAAAGTGGAGGATGAGAGAACATTTTTAGAGAATGCTCTAGGTTTATGATGGTTCTGATCCTGTCCTTGGAGTGAGGACTAGAGCGCTGATGCCTCATGTTAAAATCGGTGAAGAGCCTTCAATAGGAACACTCTGAAAGTGTGGTCTGTGTCCCCTGCAGTTGAGGGACACAATAAACTGTGCCTAACCCCTAGCTGAGAAATTTCAAGAGCAAGAGTTGGGCTGGCCAGCTGCCGACACACAAGCCAAGGAGAAGGGGCTGTGTTGGGGGCCTGTCCTCACAGGGTCTGTCAGTGTGAAAAATAGACTGTTGCTTTCCGTAAGCCAGATGTGGACCATAGTCTTATCCAAGAGGGCCGCCTGGAGAGATGAAGAGAGGGCAGCAGAGACAAGACGGAGATAATGCCAAATGCCAGGAGGCAGGGAAAGAGTGCGCAATGAGCTAGAGAAGAGTGTCCCGCCCCCGTCAGTGGACTGCAGGTGAGAGGAAGGTCTCTGGTAATGGGAATGTCCTAAAACCCTACAGGATACAGATGAGAACGAGTTAGCTTTGAACACTTCCCAAGCCCAGAGAGGGCAATACCAAGCTTACAATAGTACAAGGCAAGATAAAACTTTTCTGGCCAATGTTATCTTTTCTCCCTTCCCATGATCCACTGAATAGGGGCCAGAAATCACAGTTAATGAGACAGAGGTGGGAGATGAGAAGCACAAGGTGAAGAAAGGTGAGGGTGTATTCCTTCTCCCAGCTGCCAGCCTCCACCCGCAACAGATCACGATCAGGAAAGGAACAGAAAACAATACTGAACCAAGTCCAAAGTATTATCTGTTACATGCGACTGGATTTTTAAATTATTGATTGGAGAACGCTCTGACTAGAAAATCCTGCCTGAGTTTTTATCCAGACTCAAGAGAAGACCCAGGCCCACGAAGTAGATTTAAAGGGACAGTGGGAGGCAAAACGTTAGTTCATGGTTATATGCCATAGTGCTGCTTGTTCAGTGTGACTGTTGCATAGCGTGTGTACTGAGGACTGTGGGCATTCCTATTTCATCAAGAAAGATATCACAGACCCGGAGGGGGAAATGAAAAGAACCACAGTGTGGGGGGAGGGAGGTCTGGCATACATGAAGAAATTAAAAAAGATTATGACGTCAACATAAAGGCAAAGGTTGAAATGGAAATTTTATTGAAATCAATACAATCATAAATGATAAGAATAAGGTCAATAATCTTTGCCAAACGCCAGAATACAGTAACAGGAGGGCATCACTCAAGGTAAGAGAAAGACTCAGCAAGGACAAACATCCTCGGGGAAGACATTGCTTCTCAAGAAATGATACAGGTTAAACACACAAATGGATGCCTTTAAATTTAAATTCAGTAGAATTTGAAAAAGAAATGTATTTCATACAGTACTTTTAGAGAGAAGGAACAATCCAAAATTATATAAACAAGATGAAAAGTACTCAAATGCAACTGGAAGTGTCTGTACTATACTGATATTTAATGTGCGTTAATAATAAGCATTATTTTAAAAATATGTATTCTATGCAGCACTTATGGAGCAAGAGGTATCTATGAGTTATAACCACACCAAGGTTCACAGTAATAACCTGACGTATCAGTAACTACCATATTGATAAGAAAATTTATTTCATGAATAAATAAAACCACCAATAGAATGTCACTAACATTGTTCCTTTCATCAATGTGACCCAGATTTTTACCCAATCTGAACAGGCTACAGATGACTTTAAAAAAAAAATACTTTAAATACTACATGTACAGAACATGCAGGTTTATTAAATAGGTGTACACGTGCCATAGTGGTTTGCTGCACCCATCAACCTATCATCTACATTAGGTATTTCTCCTAATGCTATCCCTCCCCTAGCCCCCAGCCCCCAACAGGCCCCAGTGCATGATGTTCTCCTCCCTGTGTTCATGTGTTCTCATTGTTCAACACCCACTTATGAGTGAGAACATGCAGTGTTTGGTTTTCTGTTCGTGTGTGTTTGCTGAGAATGATGGTTTCCAGCTTCATCCACGTCCCTGCAAAGAACATGAACGCATCCTTTTAGTACTCCATGGTGTACATGTGCCACATTTTCTTTATCCAGTCTATCATTGATGGACATTTGGATTGGTTCCAAGTCTTTACTATTGTGAGCAGTGCTGCTATAAACATATGTGTGCATGTGTTTTTATAGTAGAATGATTTAAGGTTTGGGATCAGTGGTTCTCCCCCAGAGTGCCCATTGCATAATTCTGCCCAAAGTTCCTGGTGGGTGCATCCTCTTTTCCTAGAAAGCTTGTTTCCAACCCTGTGCATCCATCATGTCTCTGCTCAAATGTCATCTGCTCAGAGGACCCTCCCCTTTTTCAACTTATTTACAATTGCTACCATTACCCATCACCACCTGAAATTCTACTATTTATTTGTTGTTTATTTAGTGTCTGTTTCCTTGCTGGAACAAAAGTGCCAGGAGAGCAGCAGCCTCGCCTTTTCACCACTATCTCCAGGGCAGTGACTGGCACCTAGTGGGCTGTGGCAAAGGCTGCCAGTTTTCCACCTAACACCCATGCTCCCTTTTTTCCTTAGTAATGGAGTCCCTATATTGACAGGGACGGATTTTTTGTATTTTTAGTAGAGACAGGTTCCACCACATTGGCCAGTCTGTTCTTAAACTCCTGACCTCAGGTGGCCCACCTGTCTCAGCCTCCCAAAGTGCTGGGATTACAAGTATGAGCCATGGTACCTGGCCATGTTTTCTCTTTTAAACTCTTAAAAACTTTCTTTAAAAAACCATACATTGCTACATTCCTCACTCCACATCTCTGATTAAGCAGTTCTGGAGGTAGAAACTGGATGATTGTGGTTACCAAATTAGTTTGTAAACCACTAGCTGGATGACCCTTCCATTAGGCTAGATCTACACAAAGGAGAATCAGTAAGAATTCTAGAATCTTGGTGCAGTCACTTACCTGCTAGCTGTGTGACCTGAGGCCACTTGCCTCTCACTAAGCCTGTTTTACCTTCAGTAAATCAGGCCAATGTTGTAAGTGGATGCTTCATAAATATTTATTGATGTTGTTATGCGAGCTCCAGGGCAAATGAAGATGTTACAAAAAAATGCCATGGTTTTCCCCACGTGAAAAAGAGGCTGTCTTTGAGACAATGCTGGGAAAACCACATGGGGAATCTAGTATATCATGACAATTCTCCTGCTCTAATGCTTGAAGGAAAAGAAGGTGAGTCATATATACGGAACTCTTTTACATGCAAGCTGCAGAGACCCATTGGGATCAGCTAAGTTAGGCTGGGATATTTTGCTAAGAATTAGGGGCAAATGAAACAGGGCTTGAATGTCCTCAGCCTCTCTCCATCTCTGTTTGCTATTCATACATCCTCTCTTTGCTTCTTCATTCTTCCCTTCCTCTCTGTAACCTTTCATCCTCTGCTTTTCTGGTTCATAGAAAAATACGGCAACAGAGAACTTATAAATTCACACCATCCATGAGGAGACTCAGTCATCTACATTTCAGGTTTCAGGAAAAGACCCTGATTGGCTCAGCTCAGTAATAGGACCCCCACACACATTATGCCTCATATCCTATTGTTTGGGTGGGGGAGTGATCACACTGTGGGAAGTGGCCGGTCCTAACAACAACATAGATGGAGACAGGAGCCATGCTGTGAACTGGAGCATGAGCATGACGGAAATACAGGAAGTTCATTATGAGAACTAAAGTCAGGTTTAGTTTGAGTAAGCAGAGAACCTGAGCCAGAATCAATGAAGAAGTAAGGATAAGGAGATGCCAGCTCTTCAAAGCGCTGGCCCACCTCAATTGGTTCCATCAAACTGGAGGCTCATAACTGGGGTAACTGAGAGATTGACCTGAATTAAGGCATCCTGGATGCTGCAGACAGTTGAAGGAAAGGTGACTGGTGAATAGAGGGCTTGCAGTGCTCTAATGCTTGGTTTGATAAATATTCAACCATAGTTTCCCTCAAACACCAAAGGCCCGTAATGGACTGAACATAAGAAAAAATGATGTTTCAGATCAGCCACTTTTAGCCTTTCTTATCTTTGGAAATAAAGAGACTATTTATAGATTGTTCAACCTCTTCTGCAAGGGCTGCTTTGAAGTTGATGTGCAGACAGTCTCTGCACCCCTACTCTAATGCAGCTCCCACTGGGCAGGTGTTCTTCCCCACTGGGCTCCAGAACCCTGGCCGTTCCCCTGGACCCATCAGGCCCAGGAGTAGTAAGAGCACACCTGTCACTAGTCTCTGAGTCCTCACTGTTTTTTGCTGGTTGCCCTAAGGTCTGCCCACACCTCCACAAGTCTCTTCCTTTGAGAAGGAAAAGGATGATGTGTATATTGTCCCTAGGCTATCAATGGACAAATGGCTTTCTTGCTTTTCATTTCGGTTTCCTTTATGTGTTCGTCAGTGATATCTGGCCCGTATCACAATTCTGCATCTCAAGGGAAGGTTCCTTGGTGACAGTGCTCTGATGCCTGTACCAGGGTCTGGAGCTTTTTCGATGGCCAGGAGCATCATCATCCAAGAGTTCTCAGGGCCTCATGGAAATAGCTGTTGCAGAAAAGACCTTCTGTAAAGGTGGCTTAATCTCTTTCTAAATAGAGACTCCAGGACTTTTTCTTTTAACATTGATAGAAGCTTATAAGATCTAAATAGCCTAATTAAAATCGGGAGTAAGTCTCCCGGTGACATCCCCTCCCGGGGGAATACAATAGGAAACACTTGTGAAGTTAATGCCATCGACTCTAAGAGATGTTAGAGGCCTTAAATGCAGGCATAAGGAAGAGGGAGTCCTGTTTGGCCTTGCTTTTGTTGAAACGTCTATTGATTCTCTTGCAGCTCAGGAATATGCTTGGTTTTGAGGTTGCAGGCACCAGGACTTCCTCTCTGGCTCTAACTCTTAGCAATTGCAAGTCCTGGGAAAATTTCATAATTTCTCTGTGTTTCTGCTTCCTCTTCTGCAAAATAGGATTCGTGTGAGGATCAAATGAGATATCATGTGAAGACCTGACACAGGGCCCAGCATAAAGTAGCATCTCAGATAAATCGCATCTGTAGTTGTAGTGAATACAGTTGAAATAGCACAATACATCAGACATTCAGAAGATCTTAAAGATCTTCTGCATCTCTTTGTTTCTTAAAATTTTATCTTGCATGTTAACAACACCCATGAGTCCTTGTCTCGGAGGGAAGTTGCATTAGCATCTACAGCTGAGTTTGTCTGGTTGTGGTGGTAACAGCTCTGACGTCTGTTAGGCTTGTAAGACTGCAGAATCTGGGGTCTTACCCTAGGTCTCAAGAATATGGGGTCCAGGACTCTGCCATTTAACAAGCACTGTGGGTATCACATGTGAAAGTCTGAAGACTTCTTCTCTATATGCAATGGTTTTTTTAATTAATTGCTGGGTTTTTTTCCTAAAGGCAGAATCAGAGAAGGGAGCCCATGGTGCTTTTAGCTGGTGAGGATTATCTTATGATAGCTGGAGGAGGTCTCCCGGCCCTAGACCCTCGCTGCTGGTTGGCGTGCTAACCATCCTCACATTCCCAAGAAAAGAGACTCTCCTCCCTAGAAAATATGTCCAAACAGCCAAAAACCCACCCCAGATCTGTCTATACTGTCAACATTTCATAACATTTTAGAAATTTTTGAATTCAATAATTCATTCTTCTTAGCATATTTCGAGCTTTATACTACATCGGCAAATTCTTCTCAATAAGAGAAGCAAAGCTGAAGACTGAGTAAAAGTGAGTCCCCCTCCAAGTGATCAATCTAACAATTTTAAGTGCATAACAGGTTACAAAGTGCCCCTGGCTGTTTCTTATCGAAAGCCAAAGTGCCAGGAGACATCCTGACTTATGTTTGGGTGCCAGTCAGGAAGCACAATCGTTTTAGTATTTTGTTGAGTTCCTTTTCCTTCTTTCCTTCCTTTTTTGTTCTTAATTTCCATTTATCAAAAAATGCTGTGTACACATAGTCTAAATATTAGGAAGCAAATGCTGTCTGAGGCCATTTCAAACTAGCACGCCCATGCATACCCAGCTTCTGTGCGTCTCCTCGGCCTTGATCCCTGTTTGCTGATCTCTTGCCTCTAACTAATGAGGAACAAGCAGCATTCTCTTTCAGTTCTGGGTTTAACTGTACTTGTCACACTGATTGAATCACATTCAATACAAGATAGTGTTTGGGAACAGAGCCACCAGGAATTAAGGGCCTTATTTTTTTTTTTTAAGGATCTAATCTACAATTAACTTAAATAAAAGTAAAAACATTTGATTTTCTTACCGACAGTCCTATTGCTATTTGCCAAGGTAGCTCTGTAAATAACTTTTATGTTATTTCCCAATGGCTGTCTAAGAATAACATTGTGAGGGAAGATAAGGATTATCTTGGGGCTTCTAGGACACAGAACAGCATGAAGAGTACCCCAAGTTGGTCCTTGAGCTGTATTATGCTACTGGTTCATAAAGTCTTTTCTGGGGGTGACTCCAGAATGATTGTTCCTTAATCAGCCCTCCTTTGTAACCTCTAAAAAAGAAAAACTGAGTGTGGTTAGGTCATAGAGGAGCCATGCCTACATCTAGTGATGAGCTTTGCAACACAGCTGATTATGCCAGAGTTACCCATCTCACAAGAGCCTGTGAGAAGGAAGCAGATCCGTTTATCTCAGGAATTTGTTCTCACCACATGTATTTATCTGATGACAAAAGAGACCAGGAGAGAAGGATGGATAACTCATTCATTATTCAATTAATCATTCATTTAACAAATATTCACTCTACTGGGGGAGCACCCATTCTAAGACAGGCTCTGCGCAAGGCACAGGGGATGGACAAGGTGTTTTTCAGCCCTCAAGAAGCTCACAGGCTAAGGGGGAGATGGGCCAACTATCACAGTGAAGTGTGAGAAGAGAGGGATCAAGATGCAATAGGAGTGAAGGAACGAAACACCCAACTAGGCCTGAGGCAGCTCAGAGGATCAGCCAAATACTGAACACAGAACTCCAGACTCAGGTCCACGGCAGGTCAGTAGGGTTACTTTATAGTCAATGGAGAGCATCCTTAGCATGGTCATATGAGGAGCTGGGGAAGAAAGAGTTGCCTGTTGCTCTGTAAACCCTACCTCTTTGCTCAACTTGGTGGAAAATTACAGCTTACTTGGTGGAGATCATTTCTCTCTGACATGGGAAATCATGTTCCTGTGAATCACTCCACACCCCACAGCCACTATTTTTCATCGCATATGAGCTATTATTTCCAGCTGGGTGTTGACAAGACGAAACTGTTCCCTAATGCTTAAGTAATAGAGTGGAAAATAGTTGACAAAATATGAAAAGGTTGATTTTGATTATACATATGATCTCTTCTTTTAAGAACAAAATGTACTTCAGCAATCATGAATCATTCCTTACAGGGCTGTGAAGTGATTTATGTATATTTAGATGGTTATTTAATTGGTTAGTTTTAAAATAATAACTTTATTGGTTTTTTGCATGCATATTATAAAACCTCAAGATATATACCAAAAAATGGATGCATTACTCAAATTCCACTACCAACTAGTGTTAATATATGATGGTCACCAATTCAGACATCTTTCTGTCTATAATTGAGTGAGGGAATGGATGAATGGACAAAAATGATTTTATAAGAATGTCATGTTATATTTGTCTTAAAAATAAAAATGCTAAGCTTGGTTTTACATGATCTTAATAGGAGACAAAAGAAACTCAAATAAAAATAAAGGAAATGCTAAAAATCATAAAACAAATTCATATTAATTCATTGAATTCACACACACAAAAACTCAATTAAATATTGACTATTAGTATCCCCATTGCACAGATGAGGAGACTGAGGCACAAAAAAGGTTAGTTAAGTAATGTGCCTAAATTACAGAGTTAGAAAGTGGCAAAGCCAGGATTCAAATTTAGGCAGTTTGGCTTCATAGTCTGTGGCCTTGAAGGCTTTCTTTAAGAAGGTTCATGGGTGCTATATTCCCTAAGCACCATTACATTTGCAAATGCTTTCCACGTTGCCTTTACACAAGGATGAAAATTTGACCAAATAAAAATATTCTAGGTGATGGTTCTTTTCCTGTTTTAGCTATTTCCATGGTGTTCTCTGGCATTGGGGGGTGATAGGGAGAAATCTGAAGCCCCCTTAATATTTTTCCCCTTTTGTTTTTTCTGTTGGATGGCCAAAGAATTCTTTATCTTAGAGACTGATTAGCTTAATCACAGCATGACACGATGTTGTTCATTCTGCATCAATTTTGCCTTGGATATAGTTTGATCTTTCAAGTGTGTATTAGTCTGTTCTTGCAATACTATAAGGCACTATTGAGACTAGACTTTAATTTATAAAGAAAAGAGGTTTAATTGGCTCACAGTTCTGCAGGGTGTACAGGAATCCTGGCTAGGGAGACCTCAGGAAACTTCCAATCATGGCAAAAGGCAAGGGGGAAGCAGGTACATCCTACAAGGTCAGAACAGGAGAAAGAGAGAGAGGGGGGAGGTGCTACACACTTTTAAACAACCAAATCTCATGAGAACTCTATCACTTCTCACAAGAACAGCATTAAGGGGATGGTGCTAAACCATTAGAAACCTCCTCTGTGATCCAATCACCTCCTACCAGGCCCCACCTCCAGCACTGGAGATTACATTTCAACATGAGATTTGGGCAGGGACACAGATTTGAACCTTGTCAAAGTACTAATTCAGTTCTGCCATCACTTCAGGAAAATTCCTGTATTAGGTTTTTCAATATTTTCCTGTTTTATTTATTGGGTTCTTATCAGGGATATCAAATATTCTTACACTGAATTATCTTTGAGTGTCTTAATTAGTAGCTAATTCTTTTTTCCTCTGTATTTGCTGTGGTCTCAAGTGGTATAATTAGTATGATTTTTAGTTATATCTACTATCTCTATTTCTAAGTTACTCAGAATTTTATTTTGTTCCTATAGTTCTTCGATATCCCATTCAATCTCACTTTGTTGTTTTATTATATTATTTTGATCTTTCATTTCATTTAACTTGTGTTCTTATTAAGTTCTTACACAGCATAATGCACTTACAAGGAATCTCCTCACTGTTTTGGTCTTGGGTTCCTCCCAGACAGGATTTTTCATATATTTTTAACATACATTCTTATCTTAGAATACTTTATTGAGATTGTGTGATTTATTTTCATCTTATGCCTAATGTGGACTATTCCGAGTGATTGCGTATTGCTTCAATGGAATACAGTGGGGGTGAATTTTCCTTCTCATCCCCCTGCCTTATATAGACTCTTTATCTTCCCCACTCTGACCCAATAAAGGGTTGGTTCTTATTTCCAGTCCCCTTCTCTGTATCCTGAAAAGGTGGGGATAAGCAAGAATAGCTCAGCCAGGCCTGGGTACAGTCTTTGCTTAGAGCCCTTTTTGAGATGAAGCTAACTTTTTAGTCATGCCCCCACTCAATCTAGCCAAGAGTACAGTCCACTCCTCTAGATCTCAGCTTGTTCCTGCAGCTCAACATATTGACCTGGTAGTCCTTCCTGCCTCCAACAAAGTCCCCAGGGTCAAGCAGTGAGAGCTCTTTTCTCAAGGACTTTTCCTGGAATTTTCCCAGAATTGTTTACTTACTCCTTCAATCTGTTTCTCTTGAAGCTGGTGAGCATTGGTGAGAGTCATCAGGGTTCCATTAACTGGTCATCCTTCCTCTAAAGGGCTTGGCTTTGGGAAAAGGGAAGAGGGGGGCTGTGAGGTCAGGAGCCAACAGCATCTTCTATTTCTTTTTTGCGGCTACTCCTTCTTGACACTTATGGCATAAAGTTGTTACTCCTTCCTTGTTTATCTGGTGCTGGGAAATCAATCAATTAATCTCTTACTCATTCATGCTACTTTCCGAGCATTTTATTAGATGGTAGGGAAAAAGAGATTCTATGATTAATACTACATTTTGTCATCCTTCTTGGGATTTTTGAAACAGAAGAAATTTTCTGCCCAGCTTACTTTATTTCTTTAAAAGTGAGGTAAAATTCACGTAGTAGTCATCATTTTGACCATTTTCAAGGGTCTATCTGGCAGCGTTTAGTACATGCACATTGCTGCGTGGCCATCACCTCTATCCAGTTCCAAAGAGTTTCATCAACCGAGAGAAAGCCCTGTACCCACTGAGCAGTCACTCCTCATTCCCTGCCTTCCCACCAATCTGCTTTCTGTTTCTATTGAATTGACTATTCTGGCTACTTCATACAAATGGAACCATGCAATATGTGACCTTTTTTTTTGTCTGGCTTCTTCTGTTTAGCATAATGTTTTCAAGGTCATCAATCCTGTAGCATATCTCAGAACCTCATTCCTTCTGTGGCCCAATAATAAAAACTAATTCTACCAATACAATACATTTTGCTCATTTAGACTTTCACTGATGGACATCTGTATTGCTTTCATCTTTTGGCTATTTTGGACAGTGCTGCTACAAACATGTGTGTACAACTTCTTGTTTGAATACTTGTTTTCAATTCTTTTGGATATATACCCAGGAGTGGAATTCCTGGGTGTAAAAATTGCATATGGTAATTCTCTGTTTAACTTTTTGAGAAAGTATCGAGTATTTTTCCATGGCATTGGCACCATTTTCCATTTCTACCAAGGGCTCCAATTTCTCTACATCTTTGTCAGCACTTGCTATTTTCCTTTATTATTATTATTAGATTATCCAGTTCACTTTGTAATGATTTTTTAAAAATATTATTAGACTAACATCCTGGCAAGGATTTATCAAACCTTGTCCAGTATTTACCTCAGTATTTCCCATACTGGTAGCTTAGTTAGCCTGAGCAAAGCCATTTGTCATGCTTCACACAGACATTTGTTGACTAAATCACTAAATATTTATTGAGTGCCTACTGCATGCCAGATTCTGACTAGACACTAGGGATAAAGGAGTGAGGGACACAGGGTTACCTTCAAGTTGCTCATTAGAGAACAGAAGAGACAGGCATTTATTAGTTTCCTGTCACTGCCATAACAGATTACCACAAACCTAGTGGCTTAAAACAACACAAATGTATTGCCTTAAAGTCCTGTAGGTTAGAGGTCCAACATAGGCCTCATGGGGCTAAAAATCAGCATATCGGCGGGGCTGTTTTCCTTTCCAGACACCTTGGAAAAGAATCCATTTCCTTGGCTTTTCCAGCTTCCAGGAGTTGCCTACTTCCTTTGACCCATGGGCCCTTTCTTCACCTGCAAAGTCAGCATTGAAGCTCCTTTCCATTGTCACATTCCTTTCCCTTACCACAGCTAAGGAAAGTTCTCCCCTTTCAGGACTCATGTGATTAGGTTGAGACTATTTGAAAAATCCAGGATCATCTCCCATCCTCATGTATAGTAACGTATACTGAGATATGTTTCAGAATATTCTATTTCGGGGTCCAGCAATCAGGGACTAGGGTGCGTACGTCTTCGTGGGCCATTATCCTGCCTACCGTAGACATGTAAACAAACAATAACAATAAAAAAAGGCAGCGTTGATTAAGAGATTACTGTGTGCCTGATACCCCTCTAAGAGTTTTACATGGATTAACTCATTTAGGTCCCTACAATATTTCTATGAAATAGAATTTCTGTGAAATAGAACTGATTAGTACTTGGATTCATAGCTGGGGAGGATGCTGAAGAACTAAGTAAAATGACTTGTCTAAGGCCCCACAACTGGTCAATAGCAGAGCAAGAATTTAACCCAGCAATCTAGCTCTAGAGCCTGTGCAATTGAAATGAGGTTCCCTACCTAATATGATTGGGAACCCTTGCCCTACAATGTGGAGTCTTTCCTAATCAGGCTCCCGCCGCAGGTCCTGGCTGGCCCTCCCACTCCCTCAGGTGTGGCTGTACACCAGTGAGGGAGGTGGTTCCATGAGCTACACTCCAGGGCGAAGTTAGGCTTGGGGCTCCCACCACTGACAGCCAGCAGCCCTTAAAATTTTGTGAGTTCTAAATTAGCTGGGCATGGTGGCGCATGCCTATAATCCCAGCTACTCAGGAGGCTGAGGCAGGAGAATTGCCTGAACCCAGGAGGCGGAGGTTGCGGTGAGCCAAGATCGCGCCATTGCACTCCAGCCTGGGTAACAAGAGTGACACTCCGTCTCAAAAAAAAAAAATTTGTGAGTTCTGACATGTTTGTTGACTTCATGTCTAGCCATCAATGGAGAAAATATATGATGGCAAAAAGGCACATTAAATATTGACATTCATTTATTAATGTATCTCTTATTGATCAGTATATTCATACTTTTAAAATAAGACAAGGTAAGTCTGCAATCTCTCATCCACAATCTTGAACTTCACAAAGCACTGAAAACAGCATTTTTTTGGTAGGTTTGTCACAAACTAATTTTTTTGGGACAAAACCTGACCTGAACTAACATGAAGCTATTTATAGTGTTTCTTTATCCTATTAGTAGTGAGCATTCCCATATTTAACTGCAGAACTTTTCATGTGTTGGATTATAGGGTACTGCTCAGACTCCACTGGGAATATTATTAATATATGGTACATATATATTTATATATCCAATTACCTTTCTAAAACCTGAACTATCTGACTTCCAAAACACATTTGGTCCCCAAGGTTTGAAATAAATACTTGTGGACCTGTAGGAGGTATATGTGTAAGACATGTTATTTGTTTAGTCTATAATCAGTGCTTAGTGTACACATGAATTCATTGACACCTTGCAATAAGTTCCCTCATGGGCACAACAAGCTTCCTGGCCTACTTTGCAGTTTTACCTAGGGTCTTTTGTCCTAATTTAAAATGCCTGACTACCTAATCCAGGAACTGCCTCAACTCCTAAAGGCTAGTTTCCCTCTGTTTAAAATAAATACTATATGACTCCAATGCATTTAAAGGAAACATTTCAATATAAGAAGAAGCTACCAGGCTGCAACTATAGAATAACACAAATTGGCTTATAATCACCATGTGGAATTATAGAGAAGAGTGGATCCCTGCAGACTGTTTATTACAGCATGCCTTAAACAGCGACAGAGCCGAACTCCCTGGTGTGAAAGGCTCTGATCCTATGAAACTCTGATCCTATGGAGCATGGCAGAGTGAAGGAGCACTGGCTTGAGGAACATGGATTCTGGATTCTAATTCTGCCTCTGCCATCGCATGCTGAGTAATGGTTCAGGGATCGCTTTGCCATTCTGGGCCTCTACTTCTTCGCTTATGAAGGGAAAGGAAATGGGTTTGATTAAGTCTGCAATGCTAGATCCTGCGATTCTGAGGAGCACCCTTTGAGGGCAGATATGCATGCAGGAACACAAATTCTAACAGCATTCCAGACCCTCATTTATAACACAAGTCAGCTGCCCGTAGAATGAAGTGTATGTTTTACATAGATAAAGTTTAAAATTTGTACCAACTAATACAACATGTTCATTTATATGCATGTTATAGCTCATAAATAACCAAAGGAATCAACAGTTTATCAAATGTTTATCTGAGGCCAGTGAGTGGACAACTCCTTCTTGCTTTTTCTAGGACTGTTGTTGAGAAGTCATCAAGGGTCAGGTTGTCCCCAGTGATGAGCTTCTTAATTCAGTACTTACTATGCATTGAACACTGTGCCTGGGAGAGGAGAAGGAGCGGAGGTTTTGCGTTTATTGGCTTGGGGTACTAAGTAGCTATGTAGATATTACAGAATAATAGCAGCTGCTATCCCCCTAGGTCTGATAACGATGGAAGGAGTTGTTGATTGGCATGTTAGTTGATTCCCGCTGCTTTTTGATGTATCACCAATAATTAAGGTATAATACTGATGGCAAGGGGTAGGGGATTATTCTGGAATCAGGTTTTATTTGTTTTGAAATCAGAATACTGATTTTAAACTGACCATCTGAATGTAGAAAAGCATCTCATTATAATTGTCTCTACCTAAAGCAAGGGGCTTTACTCAGGGATTTCAGCACTAACCATCAGACCCACTTGGTCATGCAATCTCAGGGCCTCTCAGCAAGCTGGGGGCGGCTGGGCTGCGGCCTCCTTGGCACTGTCTGTGCCCTGCCTAGAATGAGCAGAGGACATCAGCTGCCCCTGAACCTGATTCATGGCCAACAGTTGGGCCCACTGCACCCCCTCCACAGCTGCAGAGGGACAATCGGGCACTGGTTTCAGCCACATCTGGTTAACAGGCCTCCCTATGAAATTTGCCCATTCAGGGAAACAGATGGCAGGTGAGACAGGCTGAGTTTTTGAGCCACATGGCTCTCTCAGCTCTCTGAACCTTAAGATGACTGGCAAATGGGGACTTGGACATGTGCTGGGGAATGAGAGTCTACTGAGCAGAAGAGCTGCCTGCCACGGCCCTCACTGAGAGCCCTGGCTGCTGCCTCACCTACTCTCATCTTTCCCATGTTCTGACTTCTCAGGTAGATGGACAGTACAGCTGGCTCCTGGTACCAGCCCTTTCTTGCTAAAAATCCATTCCTGGGTCCTGTGCTGTAATTACCCATGAAGGTCAGTGACTGAGTGGATTTGAGAAATTGGCACAGGGTACATCTGAAGCTTGCTGGTATGTTTGTTGAGAAACACTTCCAGTCCTCCATCCTAGGACCTGGTTCTTTTCTGCTCCCTGGGGACCAGGCAGAGGCAGCTCTCTGGTCTAGGCTGTAAAAGCTCCACTGTAGGCCTGGTGAATCCTCTAACTGTTACTATCACCCGAGACTGTTAACTTCTCTCGCTCTTCTTCTTTCCGACCCCTTCCTCCTTCAGACACCAAAGATTCTCTTTTCGTTCGTTCTCTTCCTTTTCTGCCCCAAGCATGAGGCATTCGCTGGAGGACTCAATCGTTTCCTGGGAGGTTTGGGTGACTTGAGATGTTCTTCATCTGAGGAAGATTTACATTTGAAAAGAGATCCAGGAAGAAGGGCGCTGCCTTCTGCTGAGGAATAAAGCAAAACCAGTGACATTTCAGGCTCCAGAGATGGGCCAAAGAGAAATTACTTTCAGATTGGAGCTGCCATCTCTTAAATCAAACCACAGAGACAGGCCTCCTTCTGTACACATAAGCCTGTACTGGTTCATCTGCAAAGTGGGCTCGAAAAACCGGGAATGAAGCCCAGGCTCTTTCTGCTCTGAGGCTGAACTGGACTGCAGTGGCTGGCGAATGCTTGAAGGGCTGGTGTCCTTGTGGATCTTTGCCTCCTCTTCTTCCCCAGACATTCTCCTCCACCGGTTCCGTCTGAGAGGAGTGTGGGAGCACATATGCCTTCTGCCATGGCTACTGCGAACCTGGATCCTTGCTCATGCTGGGCTGCAGTGGAGAGAGGGAGTGACACAGGATGTTGTGGGGATGCTGCGCAGGAGGAAGAAAGGCGATGCAAATGATGATCAATAAACTCCATCCATTCCCGACCCTTGCCCACTGGCCCAGATGTTGAACTAAGTGGGTAATCACAAATAAACACAAAAGGGTGGGTGGGGGGTCTGCTGAGCTGCTTTTAACGCGGAATCTGGCTCCTCCCCTTCCTCCCGTGTAACAGAAACTCCTCTGGGTGACCTGCTTTGACTGGAGAGGCAGCTATTGGCAATCCGGGGAGGCAACTCTCTTAACATGGCTGCATGCAGAGCAAGGAGGAGGACCAGGGGCCATCTGCCTTATCCTCCAGAAACCCACTTGCTGTGCCTGTACCCAGCTTGTTACAGAAACGGCCGGTCATTTTCCTCACCCAGCATCCCACAGGGACTGGAGCTGAAGGAGGAGCTGAGGGAAGGGCAGGCAGTGCCCTCCCGCGTGCTGTCAGGAGCAGAGGGCAGACTTCCTCGGGGTGTTTTTGATGGTTTGTTTTCTACATGAGTGTTCCCCTCTATCAGTCATTCTCTTTGTTAAAGGGAGTTATTTTCTGGGCTGGATTTATTGGCTATATCTAGACTCTGTTTTCTCCAAAGGTGTTGTGGCAGATTCCCACTCTTACATTCTATCCTGGGGTGTAAAGAGATCTGAAACGGACAAGGAAATGGAAGAAACTTAAAACCCAACACAAAACTAAGCAGAATTATACAGGACAGCCAGGTTCTCTCTGAGTCAGATCATTCCTGCTACTGGTGCGGCTCCTTGGCAGAAAGAAGTATTTCTCAAATCCATTCCCCTCACAATTCTGCAAAAAAACTAATGGACAAGGCTCTCTTATGGGTTAAAAAGGTTTGGGTTTTTTTTTTAAATCTTCCCCATTTCCTTAGTGTAACAGGTTTAGCCCATCCATGGGAAATCCCAGCCGTGTGTATATCCAAGAGGCAAATTCTGGATTTGAGGGATCCCACCCATTTATGCAGTAATCCCTTTTATGTTTGGCCCTGGAGATAAGATGTGATGGTGGATTGGATGTGACGGATTTTTGTTTGGTCACCCCCATCGAATTGTGAACATCCTAAAAGTAGCTAAAACAAAAACCTCCAACTCTGTCCATTTCTCTCCATTTTTACTGACACTGCCTCCATCAGAGCCACTATTATCTCTTATTCAGGTTACTATATGGCCTCCTGTTGTATGTACATTAGTTAGTACATAGGAATATTTCCATGAATTTCCATGGCATCTAAAATGAAATCTGAGCTCCCTGACCTGGCTCTTGATCGGGCCTTTGTTTTTTTCCTATCCTCCTCTCATGTCACTAGTTGTGTTCCAGTTTCATGGAAGACAATATTTCCACTGGGAGGGGGAGAATGGTTTAGGGATGATTCAAGCATATTACCTTTATTATGCACCTTATTTCTATTGTAATAGATAATGAAATAATTATACAACTCACCATAATGTAGAATCAGTGGGAGCCCTGAGCTTGTTTTCCTACAACTAGATGGTCCCATCTCGGGGTGATGGGAGGCAGTGACAGATCATCAGGCATTAGATCCTCATAAGAAGCATGCAACCTAGATCCCTCACATGTGCAGTTCACAACAGGGTTCACGGTCCTATGAAAATCTAATGCCACCACTGGTCTGACAGGAGGCAGAGTTCAGGCAGTACTGTGAGCAATCAGGAGTGGCTATAAATACAGATAAAGCTTCACTCATTTGCCCGCTGCTCACCTACTGCTGTGCAGCCTGGTTCCTAACAGACCATGGACCAGTACTAGTCCATGGGGTTGGGGACCCTTTCCCTATTGCAGTAATTTTTTTTTTCTCTCTTTTTTTCTCAAATATCCTCTAATAGAATTTTGAAAAATGAATGTATCCCTTATCTTAATTCACTTTGTGTGACTATAACAGAATACTCTCAACTGAGTGATTTCTAAAGAACAGAAATGTATTCTCTCACAGCTCTGGAGGCTGAGAAGCCCAAGATCAAGGTGCCAGCTTATGATAAACAGAAGGATGAATGTTGTCTCCTCACATGGCAGAAGAGTGAAAGAGAGCAAACCCCTCTCAAAAGCTCTTTTTATAGCAGCAATAATCTGTCTATGAAGTCAGAACCCTCATGACCTAAAACATCTCCCAAAAGGCTACACCTCCCAGCACTGCTGCCCTGAGGAGTAAGTTTCCAACTCATGAGCTGGGGGGAGACACATTCAGATCATAACACCCTTCAGTGCATCAAAACTTCATATTTAAATTCTTCATTTGTAAGTTTAAATATTTGCAAAGGATGTTATGTTTTGCATTATTATTTTAAATGCTGGCTTTAAAAAATCACATCACCCTTACATTTGTCTAATTGAACTCAAATACTATTTTGGTATCCATCATTTTTTAAAGAATGTGAATGTGATCTTCCCTTACAGTTCCAAGTTTTACATCATTCTTATTTCTCTTTGAACTCATATTTTTATTATATTTTGCCCATAGAATTTTATGTTAGTAATAACTTCTAGGCAATAAAATATCAATATATTATAAATCTTGATAAATAATTATTAAAAGTCAACTTAGCAAATACAGCTTGCAATGAGATAAATGAGGCTTCTTTTTTCAATTAGTTGGTGAATCTATGGATTAACATTACTTTTTGCTAGAATAAGACAGTTTCAGAAACAATTTTACTTCCACTTACTGTTTTTAAAAATATAATTTTGAGGTATTTGCCTCAAATAAATATAGATATTTATGTACTGATGGAATGTATCTATGAAAGGCAAATTTCCATGTTTTAGAAATACTACTCAATTCTTTAAACCCTTTCTGATTTTCATGCCACAAATAACAAAGTTACTTTCATCATAAATTATTTTAATGTCTGAGAGCTGACAACACCATTAAGTCCTATTGAAAGCAAAGAGTTGAAACCACCCAACTTACCAAATAATTTGGTATCCACTTACTAGAATCATCTGCTTTCTTAAATGCCGAGACATATACTAAAAGGTTTCCTCCAAAACTTATCAAATTACTATCTTTGTTTTACTGTATGATTTCATTTACCTAAAGAACAAAAAAGAAGGGAGAACTAACCCATACTGGTTCTGATGAGGATGGTGGTTCACCTAGGAGGGTGGGTAGTGATTGGAAGGGATCACTAAGAAGGCTTTGGAATTGCTGACCTTGTTCCGTCCTCTGACCTGGGTGTTATTACACAGATGTGTCCAGGTTGTGGGAATTCATTGAGCTGTATGCTTGCAATCTGTGCGCTTTTTTAAAGCTTTTATTTGAAGTTCAGAAGTACATGTGCAGGTTTGTTACATAGGTAAATGTGTGTCATGGGAGTATGCTGTACAGTTTATTTTGTCACCCAGGTATTAGGCCTAGTACCCATTAGTTATTTTTTCTGATCCCCTTCCTCCTCCCACCCTCTGTCCTCTGATAAGCCCCAGTGTATGTTTTTCCCCTCTTTGTGTCCGTGTGTTTCCATCATTTAGCTCCCACTTACAAGTGAGAAAAGCATTCCTTTTTCTCCACAACCTCTCCAGCATCTGTCTACCTAGGGCTGCAGACTGAGCCATACGTCTCCTCTATGATAGATCCAGACAGTTTGGGATGATGAACAAGTGAGAACAAGTAAAAATCTGTTCCTGCATTAGTTTGCTAAGGATCATGGCCTCAAGCTCATCCATGTCCCCCAGCTCATCCACGTCCGTGTAAAGGACATAATCTCATTGTTTTTTATGGCTGCATAGTATTCTGTGGTATATATGTGCTGCAGTTTCTTTATCCAGTCTATCATTGATGGGCATTTAAGTTGATTCCATGTTTTTGCTATTGTGAATAATTGTTCGTTGCTACAATGAACACACATGTGCATGTGTCTTTATAATAACATGATTTCTATTCCTTTGGGCATATATCCTGCAATGGAGTTGCTGGGTTGAATGATATTTTTGTCTTTAGGTCTTTCAGATATCTCACACTGTCTTCCACAATGATGGAACTAATTTACACTCCCACCAACAGTATAAGAGCATTCCTTTCCACAACCTCACCACATCAAAAAATAAATGTGTTATTTTTTGACTTTTTCATAATAGCCATTTTGACTGGTGTGAGATGGTATCTCATTGTGGTTTCGATTTCTGTTTCTCTAATGATCAGTGACACTGAGCTTTTTTTTCATATGATCATTTGTAGCATGTATGAAATGACTATCACTTGTACAGTCTACTCATTCACCAAAGGGTACCTTGTTTAACCCAATACACACATAAAGGATTAGGCAAATCAAATTGTTGCTTATTTCACTAGGCCTTTTCTAATATTTATACTTCTTATTAAATGCCTTAGTATTATCATGTTTTAAATATTTTTAATCCAATTTAAGAGTTACACACTTACCTCATTGATTAATGGAAAATGTCTGCTATATAAAAGGTCCTCATTGTCAAACCAGTCAGCCAAATCAGGCTTACTTTCTGTCAGACATATCTGTCTTCATTTATTAATCCAAATAAATATGTTGCAACATACCTCTATGACAGTCACCTCCACAGGTAGACAGATAATACTCCCAGCCTTACTATTGAAAAAAATCCCTCCATCTCAAAAAAAAGAAAGAAAGAAAAAGAAAAACATCCTGCCCCTGTTACTCCTTTTCAGAAGTCACAAGGATTTCCCTCTGTAAGAAATGTTTCTTCAGCAATATGAGAATTATGGAAAATTCAAAGTCCTTTAAAAAAAATAGTGTACTCTATGCAGCCATGAAAAAGAATGAGATTATGTGCATTACAGGAACACAACGGGTGTTGTGGCTCATGCCTGTTATCCCAGCTACTCGGGAGGCTTAGGCAGGAGAATCGCTTGAACCCAGGAGGCGGAGGTTGTGGTGAGCCAAGATCATGCCATTGCACTCCAGCCTGGGCTAAAAGAGTGAAACTCTTTTTTTTCAAA